TATTTGCAGGGAAAGGGTTTATAATATGCTTCTCATTTACCAGTAGTCCACACAAATAAAATACATGTAGTCACACATCTTTGGTCCAATCATGAACTCCTGCACATGCATCATGTCCTCAATATGAGATGTATGTGCTTAAAATGACAAAAAACAATATATAGCTGAATTATGACTGGATGCACAGAAGGTATGATGTATATGCCGGTTTTTCGACTACTGATAATTCAAATCGGGGACTAACAGACACAGCAGTACAATCTATAGTGCTTTATTAGTATGAAGATTGTTCACCCTGATAACATCTGTAATGAAATAAATCATTGTATCTGAAATGCAAAGTTTCTAGTTACTGAGTAATATTAATTAGTACAATAATTGAATGCTTATATAAAGTGAAGTGAAGTGAAGAATATTTATGTTATAAAAAATGATGAAGTGAATTGATTTTTGTTTATAAAATGTGAAGAGTGAAGCTGCAGAAATCCATAAAAAGTGAAGTGGGAAGAAGCCATATTATTTTTTACCCATGTGGAGGCATTTTAATGCACATTGATTCGAATGAATAAATTTCTTATCCATATTATAAATATGACCCAACAATGCGTAATGAAAATACTGTAAACTAAAACTCTATCACTACCTGGCACGTAACATGCTTATGTATATAGTGCTGCCTCAGAGCGATGCAGCTGATTTTAATCAGCTAGCCAAGTGTCCATATAACCATAATATTTCCCAAATACTCGTATTTGTTATACCAACAAACTAGTATATTGTTAGTTTGGTTTGAAGCTTCAAGATAGCACCCGGAGTAGACATTTAATATGAAAGAATACGCTACTACATATGCCGTACCAATGTTTGTTTGAGGGATTACTTTTCGATTAATTTCGCTATTGTGTTTTTTTTTTACTTTTTCTAATAACGTTTTATAACACGTGAATGACCTGTGAACTGCACTAAACGTTGCCATATGTGTGGGCTAAACGATTGCGGTCGGGTGTTCTTTATCTGCCTTTTTCAGAATGGGAAAAACCCCATAATAGTGATACTGGACGTTGGCAATTATTGGCACGGCATATGAACTACCGTATTCGCCTATATACAAGTTTTTAGAGGGTGTATATGCTGTTAAAATTGCATTTATTGTTTTATCAATATTGCTACCTTATGTATATGTAGTATATATTATACACAAACAACAATGTGTTACAGAATATATTTGTTGATTTATTTTTTCAATATTGAATAATCTTTCAATTACTGTGGTATTGTTTTTCAATCACCTACATAAAAGCACGGACATGACATTTTTTCAATATTGAATAATCTTTCAATTACTGTGGTATTGCTCCGCTCCTTTTCTGTAGGCTGTAATGTAGAAAACGCGTGCTACGGCCTAGCAATGTGCGCCGAAAGAAACGCTATAATCAAAGCAGTCACTGAGGGGCATCGTAAATTCCAAGCCATAGCTGTAGGAACGTAAGTAATCAAGTTTTCTAAAACATTGTCCGGTAGTTTGGCGTTTCATGTTGTCTATACTTTAATGGCCTACACCCATGTTATATAATTTATGAGCCTGACAAATGATTAAATAAGAAAGAATACAGTTGATACCTGGCGAACCCGGTTATGAGTGGTGCAATCACTATTCCTTTGGTAAATGTACATTTCTATTTCCAATGAGTGGCGCCCTCCAGCGACTAAAAGCGTCGCCGACGCCAAGATGGCGTAACCAATGTCGTACAAACTTTGGCTGGCTGTGCAATCATTCATCATTTCGAATATGGCATGTCTCTAAAACAAAAACTATGTAAATACATATTCGGACTTACTTGTATGGTCATTACGATAATGTATGCTAATCTATGCACGGATTTTTGTTGTGAAGTCGTAATTACTCAAGATGCTCTATAGTGTACCCTTAACTACTTATATGTTAGTGTAGGATGAGTACAGCTAAAACTGTATCGACTTTCTAGACCTCCTTATTTTCATTACTTTCATTATCAAAGTCCTTGCGTCAGTTCAAACCAACTATTTGATTTCTAGGTCTATCTTGATCAGTGTATGCAGTAACAATTTCAATATGCCTTATTCGTGTACTTCAATTTCCCAGTTTCAAACTGTACCGTGATTGATTCATTACAGGGACATTAAAGACAAATTCAAAGGCCCCTGTGGACCTTGCAGACAGTTCTTAGTAGAGGTACGTGGTATTGCACGAATAGTTTATGCAATGATGTTAAGTGTATTTAGCAATGTCGTATCTTCACTGAGAACAAAATTCTCTTCCAAAAAATAACAAAACTTTTTTATTGAAAAATGCACCCACTATCATCTCTATGATATCTGTTAATAAACGGCGCTTTCACTCGTGTTATTGAGTTTTGGTTTGTCTAACAATGGTTAGCCACAGCTTGATGGTTCAGGTATATAATCATGCGAGTATTTTGTACTGGAATTTAATTTAAGTATGGTCGCAGCTAGCAAGCTTTAACACAGGAATGCATATTACAAATTTATATTCAATGTGTCTGACTATTTAACTATCTAAAGAAAAATGTTCCATTAACCGAGCTATTTGTTTAATTTAATGTATTTTGTCCAATTGCCAATTAAAATGACAAGAAATCACAGGATCTACGGAAACAAGTTAGAGAATCCTTTTTTTTTATTATTTTGTCTTTGTGAAATATTTTATACTTTAACACTTTCATTGACATTTTAATATATTTTAGTAATTTTAATTTGTGTTTTAGTTTGGAGAGTGTGACCTGTACATGGTGAAACCAGACTTAACATACATGAAGTTTCCTCATGACCTACTACCAATGGGATTTGGACCAGCAGACCTGCTTGCTGAGAAGATTTGATTATTAGAAATTAAAATAAAAAATAAAATAATTTAAAATATATATATATATTACTGTACGTTCCGGACTGTTGAAATGTTCACGTATAAATTTGGTCTAATGATACATATTACAACGACGCACTGTATTAAACTACGTTTAGCATTATTAAAACAATTATTTAAATACTAGCATGCAGCGTTTATAGTATGTGATATGTGTAGGCTGTGCCTGTGTTATTTAAATAATTTGTGTCAATCAAAGCAATGAAATATTCATGCACCTTGTTTCAATATTTTTTTTGAATGTATGTTAGAATGTATTCCCGGCAAAATTTTTTTTAGAATGCAAATAAGCTAATTAATATACACAGGTTGTTGAGAAACCGACATGAGGCATTTATTAGTTATTAAGCAGTATGCCTGCTGAACAATAACATTAAATAAGTACATAGTTTTCGCCCAGAACTAGGGAGATGACAGCTTTGATTTCCGTGGTCGCTTGGTTTTATAGTTATTAGAAAATAATAGTTCAGTGAACTAAATATTTTACGATTTATAGTATTTTTTTCCCGGATAGAACAGCTGTTCTGCCTATTAGCTGCAGATTGAGTTGTTAAATGTGATTGCGTCCTCACCAGATTACTCACTCAAAACAACGTAAACTTTCTTCCGATATATGAAAATGGAAGCAGAATTCAACTATTGCGTAAATATTTATTATACATTAAATATTCATTACTCATGCTAAAAATTATAACACATGTCTTATAATATATAGAACGCAATATTTCACTCTGTCTTAATGAAATAATAAAGTTGTCTAAGCTACTAATATCCAGTAAAACCCTTCCAAGAAAATAGTTAGAATTGTACATTTCTAAGTTTATTTGAAGTGTCTGTAAAAATTGTTTTCAACAAAATAAAAGTATTAGTGACCGTATAATACTAATCACCTCATTGTATGTCCTTAAGAAGTGGAACTGTTAACAACATTGTTTCCATAATGAAAATTCTAAGAAAACTCGAGTGATAAAGAGATTGATTGTATTATTGATCAATTATGAATCCCTAAACTAGAAGAAATGATAATAAAAATTATAATAATGGAAAATTTTAACCAGCATTAAAACAGTGTAATTATAACGAAGAATAGCATTTACACTGTAGTATATTGGATTATTCATCTTGACATGTAATTCATCACTTTGTCCCAGTCTGATATAATGTGAACATCTCCAGTGGTGAAATGGTCTATGTAGTGACAGTGGTAGTCTTTTGCTTCTTTTGCTTCTTTTGATTCTTTTGCTTATTTTGCTAGAATGGAAGTGAAAAGCATCGTCACAACGAACATGTTATTTCATCTTCTCCGAACAACTTGAAGCAAATATAAATTATCTACTCACCTTCCTCAAACGTTCCCAAATAGCTGGCACCTTCTTTGCAAGATCACTTCTTTCAGCCGCACGTAAGCTATGTATTAATACTTTAAAATCATTGGCTTCGGGGTCGATGGCACCACTTTCATACAATTGTACGATAAAACCGCATGCATTCTGTGTTTCAGTCATCCCTTTTTTACAATGTGCTTGACTTGCAAACTTCATACGTTCAAGCTCGTCTATAATAGATTGCATAATAGCAGCAAGACTTGTTAGTACATTTTTGCGCTTCGAAATATGAAAATACGGTCAAATTTAATTAAAATGTTATTAACATTTGAAAAAAAAACAATTTTTTTAGTCAAATACTATGTTAAGAAGAATATGCTAATAGAAAGCTAATGGCATTTCAAGAAAAACTAATGAAATAAATTGTTTTTGGTTTGCAGGCAAAAAGTAGAATTTTACAAGTTGTATACAAGAGTTGATAAAACAATCGTAAAATAACTTTTTGTTTATTTTATAAGTTAAAATATCAAACTCTTTGGAAAAGTTTGTCTATGAACATAATTAATAAAATTAATAAATGTGATGAATACTTACTCTTAGAGATTTCTTTACTCAGTTCCAGTGCAAAATCATAGATAGGGTCGCCTGAAAAATAAATATCCTGTGATAAACTGTCGGAATTGCAGTATTTTTTTCGGAAATGGTTACTCGAATAGATGTAATCTTTCAGGTGAAACTGTAATCGACAATGTTCCAATGCAAATTCAATCAATAAACTTTGTCAAAAATGTAATGCATTGCACCGAACAGAATAGATACAAAAATTTGAATTTAGTTAACCACGACCAAATGCACTACACTGTCACATTTGTCATGGTGTCAGTTCATTGACTCCACATACCACACCAACGATTTCCGTGCAAATAGTGTAATGTCCAGTGTATTACCAAGTGCACCAAACATTTTGTCAACAAACCTTTCACCTTTTCAATACATATTGAAATTTGATAGGTGAATGTTGTAACAGCTACAACAGCAAAGTCACATCGATGTGACCCCCTTTCCCCGAGTGTATGATTAATGTACTCTTTTTAAATCCACCGAACCACGTGACCACCCACCAATCAAGCTACCTAGCAAATTAATAACGTTAGGATCCCTAAATATAGGAACGATAACAGAAGAGATCCAGGTCATATTGGCACGGATTTCTAATAAATAAAATACTCAATTTTAATTTGAATGTTTTTGTCATCAGATTCTATAGGTTGAGCACATAACTTCATTCAAACCAAATTGGTATACTGTGACGTAAAATGTTGAAATTATAAACACAATATTAGAAAATAAAAAAATGCACTTGGTTAGATTCCTCAATCAGATTACCTTCTTTCAAATTTTGTTGTGATCTGTAATGTAAACAAAAGTTTCTTGTTTCATGAAAAACAGTATATAATATATATGCAATAACAAGTATATACTTCCTAGACATGTTATCACAACATATTTCTGAATTTCATAACGTGATCGTAAGGTACTAACATAAAATATCAAATAATTTATACGTTACTCACTTCCAGTAATACAAGACGGCAATAACAGTAGCAAAACATACAACTGATAAAAGTATGGCGAATAATATTTGACAGGCACCTAAAAAAGAAGAAAAATGAACTGCGTTTGTACTTTATACAAATGTTGCATACAAATTACATTTTATTTCAAATGTTTATTAGTCAAAATAAAAAACATGAATATTTTTTCAGGAGAAAATATATATATATCAGGCAATAGTTTTTGGGAAATACATAAATAATTATAATAAAATGTTAAGTCTCTACAAGTTATAATTTGACAACATTAATGTTTATATTTTAAGTTGCCACACGTGTATTTGCATAAACATTAGAAAAATTATGCAAGTATATGCAATTGGTGGGTAACGTATAATCACAGTAAGGTATATCATAATCCAAATCATCATACAGTTTAATGGTCCTCCAATATAAATTCACAAACGCGGGATATATTGTGCGATTATGGAAAGAGACACCTGGAACGTTTGTATTTGATTTTTAAAGAGTCAATCCGCAAAATATTATTATTGCGTGTCGCAATGACAAGCCACTCAATTTATTGGAACGTTTATCCACTGTTTTACATTGTATATGTCTCTTTGCATAGCTAACACCATTGGCCAGTGTGGTATCTGATTTGTTATTTTCATCATTTGGTCTGATGACTTAATAAAATATATTTCAATGAAATACATAGCGAAGATAAATACTGGCACTGTTAAAATAATAACTGGCATTACTTGTGTCCTCTGCAGACAGGCATTCCGAATATCTTGGTGTAGTTGGGTCAACTACGTCTGTGACTATAACGTATACAGGAACAATACTGCAAATACAAATTAACAATTAAAACCTTCAATTCACACGCCATTACAGAGGTGTGCATTGGAAACTTGACACATGTACTGTATGAAATGTTTTAGCATCATCACCCACCTTGACTTAGGTAGTTCACCTCCATCAGTAGCGATAACAGTCAAATTATAAAATGGTGTTACCTCGAAGGAGTCCAGCAAATAAAGAGTGGATATATTGGCAGTAACTGGATTGATCTCGAATATTCCCTGCGTACCAAAACAACGATTACATGAATATGCAAGAACCAAGTGTTCTTATGGAGGGGGGGGAGATAATACTATCATTATAATGTACGTGTTTTCAAATAATCAATCAATCGACTTCGAGGTGACACATTACAGTGATCAACTTACCCTCTCATTTCCTACATAGGCAAGTGAATATGTCACACTCCCATCGTCACCATCATCGATATCTATAGCTAAGATGTCTAGGTCTAGAACTGAACCAGGTGGTAGATTTTCGGGTACCGCTGTGGAATATTCATCTGAGGAAAATTCAATATGATTACGTAATGTATATAATCTACACAACAGATCTGTATAATAATTTACAAAATATGCCAAACATTGTCTCAAGGATGGAATTATGTAATTTCAAACACAGTTTTGAGCATTCGTCATCTTAATTTATTGGAATAATCAATATGAGTTTGCTCTGACACGATTAATGTTACAAGTGCGTTACAATAGGAAGAGCACAACTAATATATAGATATGTTTTCACATTCCGAGAGCATTCATAAAGCTTTATTGGGTTATTCGGTAATGAATCCGAGCAACATTGAAAAATCTTCTGGAGTCGCCGTGGATCCAAATTAGCGCGACTAGCAGCAATTCGGGTGTTAATGCTTGTGAATCTACGCGCGTTAAATCATTAGCTAGTCAATACGTTATCAAATAAATAACCAATGAAATAGAGGGCCAACATATATCTTGCTTTTCATGAAAATTCCTATCATCAAATATTTCACATAAATCACCTGACACATTAATGTTTTGGGAATAATCTCACTTATAAACTTCAAGAATAAAAACAAATTAATAATTATGTGATTTATATCATTTTATCCCGTTCTGATAATCCCCCCCCCACCGTTGTGTTACCACAAATGATGCAACTAGACTTCTCAGATTGTAGGAAACAAAAATGTACACGGGGGTGAAATAATTAACCTTGAACATATGGGTCAACTAGTGTTCTTGTGCAACTTGACATGACGAATAATCTGAAAAAAACTTTGTGGCACAATTTAATTTCTCACAATTTGACTTTCTGATGACATTCATGAAAATACATCCTAAGCGCGTAAATACGTTGTATATACGATTAATGACTACATAATGTTTTTGTTTCGCGAAAGTTGACAAGACGTTTGTATGAGTCACATTCATAATCAGATAGACAAATTTTGTATATCATTATGAAATGTTGACTTACTCACCTTCTGCAAATAACGGACTGTTTGTGTTTGGATCGCGATAACGTATTTCAACCGAGACATACCCATGGTCGTCATGGAAAAGGTGCTCGTCATTCGCTGAAACCATCAACTGAAAGGTCAAAGTTCCGCACTTTATAATATATTAATTATATTGTAGTATAAAAGATAAATATAAAGATAAATATTACTCCAATTTATTTATTTATTTAAGATTGAAATCAGGGTCATTCAAATTAACTCTATCTTAATTTGGCAGGGGCTCTTCGGTGCACTATATTCATAATAAACATACATAGATGCCTAAAATCAATTCTTAAATTATTTAATAAACCAGAAGTTTAACAATAAAGTCATATATGTAACAGCTCTTACTGGTATTATTTTGCATATCGTCAAGCACGATGTGGAACCATTTTGGCCATACAACAGTGAACAGAGACCAAAAATCAATTCGCATAATCAAACACAGGAACAATGAAACCACAATTGTTTGCACACACGTAAAGCCACATAGTTGCCACAAAGTAAGCGGCTTTTGAAAACAAGTCAATAGACTTCATTTGAATACAATCAACGACCATATAGCGTAATAGCGTCCCGGGCGTCAAAAAAAGAAAAGAAAAGAAAATGAAGCAGAAATAAACTGACCTCAACTATCACAATAGAGAGCCTTATTCTTAAGAATATGGTTTCATAATACGCTATTGTGACCACATAAAATTAAACATGGAAAACGATATAAATGTACTGTTTTGTGGAGTTTACGAAACTACTCCAGGCACGAGTTTGTTCGAAAAATCAATGAACATTCCACTATTAAATATAAATATATGTATAAAATTTATCAACAGCGGATTGGGGATGTCAATGGGCACACAAATCTCCGACAAAGCCAAGTATTTCATGTAGATAACAACTTAGATAGGCAAATCACTTTACATGTCGAATATGCTATTAATAAACGAGTAACTCGATTCGAAGCTCAATGCTGCGTTCTGTGCGATTTAGGTAGACAAAACGAATTTCGAATTACTGTTGAACAAATTAAAGCGTATCTGTGTGTATCTAAGCGCGTTGGGACAAATATACGAATGGGTTAGCAAAGAATATAACTCATAGTTCGATTTACTGTCCCAGTTACTGAATGTGAACCATCAATGCAAACACAAATTTATGTTCCCCTCAAATCGATTTTCCGTTAATTGAACATCTAGTTACAAATTGGGCGTGGTTTAACATACGTTGACATAGTTTCTAAAATATGGTAACTCGATGTTTGTAAATCTGTGACCACAATAAAGTTCCATGAAATGCGTAGCATATCTGTTTGAATGCATGAACACATATTGAAGGTGTCCTACAATTTGTTGAAGTAATCAAACAGAATATCAAGGAAACCTATAATGCACAGATGGTGTATTGCATATAACAACTCTCACCAAATATTCCGTATTAACGGTAAATATTGCGTTCGTTGTGATAACCCCAGTCTGTTCATCAATATCGAACAGGGTCGGACAGACTCCAATGTCAACAGGGAATATGTTATGCTTCCAATTGCATCTGGATCCGTGGCATTGACATCCACAACAAATGTTCCAATAGGAGAATCCTACACGCAAAAAAAAAAAAAAAAAAAAAAAAAAACGAGAAATATGATGACATACACTATACACTGTTGTAAATATGGGTGAATACATTTTCCCTTGGAAAGTCCCTCGGAGAAAAAATAAAAATAAAGACAACAGCTGAAATTATGCCAGGTGTTCATAAAATAGCATGCTTTCTTCTGTCTGTTTTGATGTATCCATGACTTCCTTGCGTATACCGTGAATATACACAAAATATATATCTGCGTATACAATCGTATATCAATGATTTTGCCCAGTGCATTACAATGCGTCGGGGCGCTGATTTCATGACTTCCTACATGTCTACGTACAATACATATACTAGTACACTGACAACAAACCTGCAGATACGTACATGGTAAACAAACGTAAACATTTCATCTGGATAAATAGAAGGTGGATTATCGTTGACATCTAATAAAGTGATATCAACAGTAGCATTGTCTTGTTTCGACGGCAGTCCATCATCATATGCCGATACTACAAGATACACAACCGCTTCAACTTCCCTATCAATCGTACCACTAGTTCGTATTATACCAGTGATTGCATCTATCTTAAAGAAACCTATAAGACAATGGAGATAAGCTTTAATTTTTGTAGCCGTACATATATGATGTAATTTAGGTGCGGCACGCTTTTATTTCTGGCTACCAACGGCTACGTATTGTACTCCTACATACCGTTGTCATTGCCTTGAACAATTTCATAGTAGACAATTCCAGACCCATCAAGTTCAGATGTAGAATTATTTTCTGCATCTTTATCCGTAGCAATAACCTCGACAACGTAGGTACCATCGGGTGCATCTTCGCTTATTTCGGCAGTGTAATTTGACGGATCACATACAGGTGCGTAGGTATTGATTTCACGTACAGTTATTGTAACCTGGGAACAGAGTTAGTGCATTGTTTGTCGCAAGAGAAGGAGAGTGATTGATGTATATGGTACATATGCTATCTCAAAATTATCCCAACATACCAGAGTTGTTGTTGCATGTGGCGGATCTCCGTGATCAGTAGCCTCGACTGATAGCTCGTGTGTACCAAGAGCACCAACCAGATTTTGTGCGACCCATATATCCCCAGTGTCATTCTCAATATCAAAGTAGTAACTTTCTGTAAATAACAACACAACAAAAACGCCTCAATTTGCATCTCTACTCCAATTATTCAACCAATCATGCTCCATGCCAATTGCAAAGTTGATTTGAATTCCCTAATTTTCTGCCATTTTTGCCGACAAGTCAAAATGACGATGAAACTACAAGACTGGTCAGTAATATTTGTTCTACTGTCTGAAGTAGAGAGATGCAACGTGGTAAATTTCAAAACAATAAGACAAACGTGGCATCAAGGAAATGAAATTATTCCCTGTTTAGAAGAAATCTAAGATAGCGGAAATCACGTGACGTGAATATTTAATGATCCTCAAACTTTATACATTGATTCTAATATGCGAATTGAATGCCACTGTTATAGCAGCCAAAGTAAAGATTTTATTGCAAATTAATGTAGCACATAAGATTTTATGTCGAAAACAATTCAATGATCTTCAGAAAGGATAAACAAATCGGCACTTCCGGTTTTGCCTAAATCCAATATGGTTAGTAAAGATTTGGACAGATCAAAATGCTGCGAGCAGATTGCTTCAGCACAGACAAATTCCCATGCCCTCGCCACGCCTTAAAACTCAATTCTGAAATAAAACACTCACAGTGCACCGTTATTAGATCCTTCAATCTGAGCTGAAGCTATGCATGTGCATAGTACATAACACTGTGCAACTAGTAATACTAGTTGGGAAGTAATACCAAATTTCAAAACAAATTATCTGTCAAACAAGAAGGCAGATCGCCATTTTTAAAGTTATTTGCAGCAGTCCCAAATGGTTAGCACCAAACGCTTCAGGCTTCTAGCTCCAGCCATTTTGTAAAACAACTTGATGAAAAAAGTTACGGAATAGAGAAGGAAGAAGAAGAAGAAGAAAACAGGACAATAATAAAAGAGGTAGCCCTATGGGCCCAAAAAAGCTAAGTCTGATATAGCTTAAAACCCTATTTGAACAAAAGCAATAGGCCTGTGAGTCAGACATACATTGTAGTTACAGAGATACCACCCAACCCTTAAAAATATTCAGAAAACTGATACTCTAGAACATTCTGTGATGTGGCATGGTTATTTTAAAGCAAAATGTTGCAAATGAAATGCAAAACAAAATGTCAATCAAAGATAGGCTACTTCAGTTTTTCACAAAATTGAATGTGACCACTGACAGAGAGTCTTATTATTCCCAGCGTAGACAAGGTCAATGACACATGCCGAATGAAACATGAGACTATAAGGAGGTGGTGCAATTATTTACTTTCGCGTTGTACTAATCCATCAATGCTGTAACACTTTATGGGAAACCACCGTTCAAACAACCAGGTCTTATCGTTCTTGCGTTTAACATTAAAACAATGTAAAGGCAAAATCTGAACAATTTTCGCTAAAATCTTTTTTGAATTGTCCTAGGAATTGATTATATATTGAACCATGATCTGAAAAGATGCGACAATGTTTCTCCGAAAAAAAAGCCTTGTATTATATGGAAAATGAATAATAAAATATGTTGTCACAGTGGTTACGTGGTTTTTAGATGAATAAGTCATTTGAATGTTGGTATGATGATACGTTTGAACCTAAAGGAATTGTGAGTAGAATTAAGGGAATATTCAAATTGTTTACATACAGAAATATATGACGAACATTTTCGTAAAACAGTGGCAACAGTAATCTGTATAGTTAATGTAAAATCATGATGATTGGCGAAAGTGCCGGACAGCTAAGCAGTAATATGAGAAGCTAAAGTTAGCTCACTACAGAAATAAAATTAGAAATACGGGAAAGCAACATTAAACTGTACGATGCTGAGGGGAGGTAGAAAGAAAAAGCACAATACCAGAATCAGTCTGACATGTGGGAATTTATATTGTAGCTCACCTTCCATAGTATATGTGATTTTGCCATTCTCTCCGGAATCAGCGTCCTCGGCAACAACAGTAATCACTGTGGTATTAACATCTGCATTACCGAGTATCTCGACATCGTATGGTTCACCAACGAAAGTAGGTTCATTATCATTAACATCGATAACCTGTATGTAAACGCTAGTAACATTCCTTAAAGAAGGAGTTCCTCCATCTTGCGCCTGAACCGCCAGTGTGTAGTTCGATTTCATCTCGTAATCAATTTTAGCATTTGCAGTAGGAGCGATAATCCCATAATACACTGCGAATTACATTAATTGTTACAAGGTAAAACCAGCGTATGCAATTCACGCAAGTTTGTATGTTTGGGTGATAATAGAAGAAGAGTGGATCGTAATAGAAAAAAAAATTCATAAATTGCTAAAATTTATGTATTTATGTAAAAACAAATGTAAACATGAAATATTTCACTCCCCGCACAAATAGTTGCTCGTGACCTTTAAATCTTTACATTTACATATAACAAGTTAGTAAAATGTTTTTTTTTTACGGAATGTCACCGTAATTCCATAAATTCCTTCACAAACGGATATAACATCTGGGTTCATGAGATAATGCTAAAATGCATGTATTATATTACTATACCGACAACACGTGAGTGGAGCGAAACGACTACTTTGGGCGTAATCATCGACGACACTTACATTGTAAAGGAATAATATTATGATTATTTCCCAGATAAGCACAGCTGTGTGTTTACAATAGAGAAAGAATATTTACATTTTATTTGTAAAACTGTCGCCATACGTCAGCCAGGCATGGGTCCGAGCATGTTTGGTCTGTGGTAAGTAAGCTTCGAGTTGGTTTGGTTTGACGAGTTAACGCATTACTTTAGCTTGATACTCTCTGATTTTTACTAGCCCCTCCTTGCTACAATCGCGTAGTATCGTGATTTCTCAGAGTGAACGCGATTCAGTCATCGCACTAGAGTTCGTTTTGCAGAATTATTTGAGCAGTGAGTGGTGCACTGTGCCAAACCTTTAGTAATGTAACCACTCGGCTGTTCACCCCCCCCCCCCAATTTTACTAAACCCGAAGAGGGTCATTAATAGGAACTTACCAACGAGGCATATGTGATAAGCAACTGCACTGTGTAACAACTGTGGCGCATCAAGCCTATTCTACAAGTTCATACGTATATAATTTGTCAATTAGGGAGGGTATTTCTGGCATTCCAAAAGTTGCTTGTTATATTTCATTTCACAAAAGCTTAAATAGTGTTCGCATAGTGTGCCAAAAAGCAGATTAACAGCCCAGCTTTATAGTTTAGCCGGCGTTGAAAGACGTGTGCCACGCCAAATTATTGTAAGTCTTTCTGAAAATGACAAGTCTGGATCGGTTCTAACAGAAACGGTTTTAGTACGTGTGAACAATAACACGCCCTCAATGTCAGCCGGCTCAGTTTAGTCTTTATACTCGTATGAACACAGGACCATTTAAAACCATGGTTAGTTAAGCCAGCTCTGTGGCACACATGTGAACATGGTAATAACTACTCACTGTTAATTTCAAAGTCGCCGTCGTCCCCACACAAAATTGTGTAGTACACTTCAGCATTGGGACCTTCATCTGCATCAGTTGCACTCACTTTGACGATTTTGATGTAATACTGCGCATTTTCCTCAACAAAACCATTGTAGTTATTTTCGGTGAATATAGGCGAGTTGTCATTGAGATCAGTAACTGTGATGTCTACAGGAACAGTACTGCTCTGTGGTTCTTCGCCATTGTCTGTAGCCTGTAATAATATATTAAAAATAATCTAAAATTGCAGTGTTTCATTTTACATCTGTTTTTAACACAACATTAAAGTCATATTGATTACGTCAACGAATGATACATTGCAGCCTCACGTGGAGTTTTCGACCACGTGAACACGAACAATTCGAGGTAAGACAGTAACACATGCTAAATACCAGAGTTTAAACAATACATACCATAACTGTTAGCGTATACAAAGCAATTTCTTCTCTGTCAATATTTCCTACAGCATAAATGGTTCCATTCGAATCGATGAAGAACTCACCTAATAGAGATGCGTATTAAAGTATGTGCACAGCAATTTTAACAATTCGTTCAATCAACGAAAGATAATTCAAAAAGTGACAATTACAAATTATTCACTACCAATAAACAACATACCATTATGTCCATCTGTTATGCTGTACGTTATTTCAGTATTGGGATCCACATCCGCATCAGTTGCTATCACAGTCACTATGGCAACATAGCACGCTGTGTAATTTCCTTCACCCACTTCACCACTGTAATATGATCTGTCAAATATTGGACTGTTGTCGTTGATATTATTAACCAAAATATTTACCTGTTGAAATCAGATTCCGAAGGCATTCAATTACACTTTCAAGTATCAAAACTAACCTACTTAAATATAAGTTACTGAATGTGAATAAAAATGAAATAAAAAGAAGCCACGTTACCACAGTAAATCCGTCGTAGTAATGTCCATCAGGATCACAGGCCGCAACAGAGATGGAATACATTGCTTCTTGCTCCATGTCCAACTTCGTTGTAGTGACGATGTCACCCTTTTGATAAAATATTAGACGTATATTGAGCATTGTATGCTCGTTTAAAAGACACAACGTACATAATGCTAGCGAGCACCACGCAACCTGAGTGAAAGTTTAACAAGTATGTGTACATACCGTTGTTGAGTTGATCTCAAACTCGTTTACATGACTAGCAATACTGTATTCCACGTTATCGTCGTTAGTAACAGACACTGTTAGCACATATATAGGTGGCTCTTGTTCTTCTAAAACATTACCACAATATTCGTCTTGACTGAATTCCATTCCACGACCTTCGTCAGTCATTAACACAAACACGTCAGTACTTGAGCTGAGAGAAGGTTCACCGCCATCCTGTGCAGTAACTGTTATCTCGGAACAGTAGTCTTCATTTTCACACACGATTAACCCGGCATCTTTAGCGAGTGTAATCACACCTCTGTCATCAATAGAGAAGTCATTGTTGTCAAGAGAGTACGTCACCTCTCCATTGGTATCACTGTCAGCATCTGTCGCCTCTACTATCACAACTATGTCACCTACAATCATGGTTTCGTCAATAGTGCAATTATACGTGTCTGCAAACTGTGGTGCATTGTCATTGATGTCAGTGACGGTGATTTTAACCTGACTGGAGCCTGTATGGGACGGTTCGCCACAATCTTCGGCAAATACTGAAAGATACAATTTAATAAACACTGAAGTATAAACTAGTGGTAATGGAATATACTAGCGGCATTATAACATTACAATTCATACCGTCAAATATGTATTCTCTGCCATCTGTATCTTCGTAATCAAGTTCCACAAGTGTCGTTACTTCACCTAAAATGATCAGAGATATGTCATGGATTATACGTTAGTTTTGTTATTGTTTCATAACTGAGATAAGTACACGCTGCTTTTATATTTGATAGTGATGTCAATGCACCGTTTTTAGAAGTTGCGCCTTCTGGCGACGAAACTCTTCCGTAACATCATTATATAGGCATATTACACACATACATACACGATTCCAGAGGCGGCGGCACAAACATTTGCATGAGGCAGGAGACGAAATCTGCTCAATTTTGAAATCTATACCTTCTGAAACGCTATTTCCTGCATTTTGAGAGATTAATTTTGCTGGCATACAAGGGTTTTAGCTTCATTTTTGGAGGGTGGGGGTGGGGGCGACGCTCCCAACATTTTCTTCGAGGGGACCCCCCTCCCGTGCCGCCGCCATTGTATTCAAACTCACGGCCACGTGAAGCGCCCTACCACTGTCAGTAAACGTCCATATCAGTACGCTCAGTTACCGATCTGAAAATGTTGATTCTGAATAATCTTTTAATGAACGCGCCCTCACAGCGATTAGCAGCAGTAAACCAGTTATGTGAAGGAAAACAGCGTTGCAGTTAAAGAATATTATCCACATAGGCGACATAAGAGCATTACCTGAAGTACTATTAACTGCAAAATCGCTTGTGTGTGCCGAATATATCACTTGGCCATTCAAACCTGCATCTGAATCCTCGGCTGTTACTTGTAACACGCTTGTTCCAATAGGGACACTTTCTTCTTGCTGGGCTCTATACGCACTTTGCGTAAATGTTGGTCGGTTATCATTGATATCGAGTAAGTCAATAATGACTTCAGTGAAGTTAGTTAGAATAGGTACGCCATGGTCACTCGCCGAAATGTTAAATGTATATGTTGCTTTGGTTTCACGGTCAAGAGTGTGTGTTACGCTCAAAACGCCAGTGGTTCTGTTGATTTCGAAATGACCATCAGCGCCCGTATGAATTGCAAAACTAATTCTGGCATTGTTGTCAATATCTTCATCCGTGGCTCTAATAACGTCAATCACGGATCCAGTGGGCGTGTTCTCCGAGATTTCGTAATAATACTCAGCCTCCGTAAATTGTGGATAATTGTCATTCACGTCAAGTAGTTCTATAATTAATGGGACACTAGAGCTAAGACTTAGATCATCTACACCATCACGATCAGACACTATCACTTCCAAATCATAACGATCTCGTTCTTCCCGATCCAAGTCTAAAACAGATTCATCATCTGTTGTTGTGATGACACCTGTTTTTTCATCTATTTTAAACTGTTCGTGACCATCACCAGCGAGTGTATATATTGTTGAAGCATTCAATCCATAGTCCCAGTCTGTTGACGTTATTCGATAATTCTGTGAAGAAATTGATAATCAGTTTTAGTATACGAATTAACATAAATACAAAACCAAATAAATAAATAAATAAATAAATAAAAAATAAATTATGCAATTTTGCTAATTATGATGCACACTTTGATGGCACATACTTGTCGGTCATATACAAGCTGTATGCACATTTCAAGGTTAGGCAAAACACACTAAAAGTAGTTAATTAGTATGCCAATTAGATTGTTATTATAAAGTTTATCTTAGAGTGGATGTCTAACCTTTATTTGTAGCGGAAGACGTCAAAGTTCACTCGAAGTCGCTCGAAGCTCACCCACACTTTAGCTTGTTCAAACACTATTTGACCCAGACAGCAGAGAGCGGAAGAGACAGACAAACAGGACTTTGCCCCGTATTTGTGCTTTGAGCAAACAACATGAGCAAATGATTCACCAATATTTTGATATGGAAAGTATGGCGCTCAAGTGTTTGAACATTATCACCTACCAGACGGACTTCTTCCCCTCCCTGGGGAGTCTCATCAAGCTGGTCGATTTCATCCACCCGACCTTTATAACAATCGCGTGCAAAATATGGAGAGTTGTCATTCTCGTCACGAACCGTGACCATAAGCTCTGCTACAATCTAATTAGACAAAAGCAAATATTTAAACCATAATCAACGACCCGCCCACTCATAATGGGCGAAAGCTCACTTTTTGCGACATCTGTGTTTGAGTCCATTATGGGTTCCGTGGGGAGTTCAGTTAATGTTATTATTTTGTAGCGTTGTCAATACCAGTGGATTTGCTGCCCTCCAAAAAATCGGAAAATCCATAGGGAAGAGAACAGTTTCATATTCACTGGCCCGTGAGTCTGAATAATTTAAGATGTCTTTCTCGAAACTCTTTCCACAAACTCATAAAACTAAGAAAGAAACTAGTTTTAATCCATCAAATATTATTGTATTTAAATCATTTACATTGCGAGAGGACGAGTGACTGATGTTTGGTGTGGAGTAGCGTTGTAGTGATCGCCCGAGCGAACGGTACACCATGACTGGTACGTTGTCTCGGTGTCCACAACGCGCATTGCACTACACTACGTTAGATCGTGGACCGGCTGCATCGCCCTCGGACTGTGCGTAGGGGTGCGATTCCGCGAGTATTTTTAAACCGTCAAGATAAATGTCATTGGCAACTGTCCTGCCTGTGACATAGTTATTTCTAAATTTTAAGGGAGGCCGGAAATTTGACGAATAATATGAAGCCAAACGAAACTTACAGGCGTAGCGAGCAAACGAACGTGACTGGAAACCTAGTGCGTTTTAGCCATCCTAAAAGGAGAGCCAATAGTAATTTTAATTCGACTGTATAAATAAAAAAAACACGGTAACTTTCTTTTGTTTATGCAAACTTACCCGGACTGTGACTTTTACCGGGAGCCGACGCTGAGGAAATACAAGTCACGTCGGTCTTTCGTCGATCTCGTTTCGCAAATTGTGTAGTACTACTCACTACGAAAACAGAATAAATTCATCTCTCTGTACTCGTAGACATACATACATACGTACCCCCACTTCGTTTATCGCATTTGCTTGGATAAAAAATCACCCTGGTTAACCTTACTCCATTGACATGACAGGGTGACCTAGTTGGGTGGCCACAAGGCCAGCAGGGTCAGTCGCTGAATCTAGAAGCGCGCGTACTAAATGAAACGCTTCGATTGGGCACACTTTAGCGTACAGAGCAAACGACGATGCCCTCACAATATTGCCTGATTTTATTGGCGGATTTAGATGGGGGCCGAGAGGGGGGGGGGAGAGGGGGCGGCCCTCCTATTTTTAACAACCAACAGGGCTTCGTGCCACCGCCGCTCGCGAACTTGGCCTTAGGCCAACTCATCGCCAACCCCCTATTCCAGAATCCTAGATCCGCCCCTGGATTTCGATATTGAAATCCGCTATTATTGGCAATGGACCGTTTTATTTGACGCCGATTTTATTGATAAATACTTGTTATCTAACAATTTTTAATATTTCTTTTTAAATATTTTCTCTTTTTATTCTTTTTCGAAAACAACATTGTCTTTACATACATATTACGGGGCATTGATGCTCAATAATGGAATACATTATCGCGAATAATCTGCTGCAGTGACGCAATGAAACCCACTGGAATTTATTACACTACAACATAATAGTTCATATGCATGGGACTCTCAGTATAATGAACTGCCCACTACAATAAAGTTCCACACTATACACCGAAACGTGTATGTGACGTCAAATTAACATAAACGGGTGATATTTAGTTTAAAACGACGACTGTGTATAGTTGTGTTCACAAGAGTATAGTAAATCATTAACAAGTTCAATGCCGAGAAAATCACCAATTAGAATAACCTACGTCACAAAGTCTAGTATATGACCAAGTCAGTGATAATCATAGCTATATTAAAACGATGTCGACGAATATAAGGACCTCATATACTAGTAACATATTTACGTCATATAAGCACTTTGTCGGTGGAGGGCGCGACAGGAAAGGCTTGATTCACCGTCAAGTAATTGACGTCTTCTATAAGGAAGTGACGCTTTAGGAAAGTCTAACATTATTCCAAACAATTACTCACCGGATCAACGAGACATACAGCTTCATCTTCAACATAGACCATAATTGAATATTGATATGAAGATCTGTCTTCTCTGTCGAGCGGTTTTGCTGTTGTAATTATCCCCTGTTGAAAAGTGCATACAACAATATTAAACTTAAAACGACATCTAACTTGATTTTTGTGCATTCGCTGTGTAAGTAGAATACAAAGAAAGCAAACCATTTTCTTTGTTTCAAAAACTCTTACTTGATGGTAAATTTCTAAAAAAAATCATTTCTCAGTGGGAACATGGTTTGTCAAAAGAAAAAAAGGACATTTTACCCAAAAAATGCACGTAAATTAGTTATTATTTTGTTTACGTGGTGGTGAATTTGTGAGCGTTGATCTTCTGTCGACTTGTGCTTGTAAACGTATTCTTCTAATGTAGTCACGAAAACCAAAAAAAAAAGCGTTTTCTCGGAAAAGTGTAATGTTTCAAATCAGTGAAAATTTGGAAGTTTGAAGAACACGCGCATGTTTTAACTTTCAAATATCCAGGGATATATTTTCCATGCTGAGGAAAACTCAATTCAAGCACTAATCAATTTAATTGTCGACAAAAATTAAAGAACGCTAAGACAGTAATACACTGGACGAGAAACAGAAGTATTTTGAGCGTCGACGAAATGAGTGAAAATACACAGGTTTTCATAAACATAACTTGAATCACTGATCACTACCACAAATGCGCATGTCTACATGATGTATACAAACATCGACATAGAATAACTGACATGCAAAGTATCTGTTAGACATTGGCAGCTAGAATAGGTTCTGCAGGTTTAAAGGAACATTTGTCTTTTAAAATCAGAGTAAACGTCATCGAATACAGGTTAGAATTTTACAATGTTTGGGTGGAAATACTTAAAGCGGGAGGGTCGTCACTTGCGCATGCGCGGGAATTGATCATAAGTCTCAAGCTATGATAACAACACACACTAAAAACGCAAAGGCTCATGGGTAGACGTTAGTTTGTAAACAGTGAAACGCTATGGCCATCTGACGCATGCGCAGGCGACGACTCCCCTGCTTTAAGAACCGGTACCTGTTTTTGATTTAGATACCTGTCGAGACGTATTTGAACAGGTTAGTTTATAATTCACTGCGACTGAAATTCGCAAAAGAAGTAATTGACGGGACTCAGTGGAATCCCGGTGCCCTGTGATGAGTAAATTTCCACTACAACATATCCCACTTACCGTAATTGAATCAATTGTGAAGTCGTCAACGTTGGATTCTACAAATGCATATTGAATATCGTAAGACTCGTAGGCATCTGTTGCAGCATTCGATACATAGGTGCCCTCTGGCTGGTTCTCAAAGACACGTTCGTCGAGATATGTTCGATTGTTATTTTGAGTATTTCCCGTTAGTTTCAATCTAATCGTTGCGTTGTTGCTTCCCCTTTGTCCATCACCGTCGAATGCATAGACAACAATTTCCACAACGTCGTTATTTACGTCCAACCCAGCCACAAGCATTTCATTGATGACAAGTTTCTGGGCACTCCGTAAATTATTGCCGTCCATCCAAAAATAGTTTTCAAGGTAAACCCCGTAGCTGACCTCTCCTCTTTCCCCCGAGTCTAAATCAGTTGCATACACAGGGGAAATGAAGGTGTCCGCTGCTGAGTATTCCAATATCTCTGTAATATATATTATGGGTGAAAATATGGGGAAGTTGTCATTGATGTCTAACACAGTTACGTGCACAGGAACGTATTTCACTGTGACAGAGTTATATTGATTCTGAATAACAACAGTGAAAGTTATGGACTGATTCACTTCCCTGTCTATATCACCATCCGTGATTATATGACCATTATCTCTTACGTCGAATACACTGTCAGCATAGTCTTCTAGTATTGAGTAAACTGGGTCATCTAAATCGTACGCTTCTGCCGATATGTCACCAACAAACGTGTTTGCGCGAGAATGTTCTTCCACTTGAAACTGATAAAATTTAGTCCCATACCAAGTAATGTTGGTCGCGCACGAGGCATCTGTTGAAAGACAAAATGTATTGTGTAGACAATCTCAAAGCTGTCACATAACCAACACTCAAATATCAATAGAATAAAGTTAAAAATCAAAGAATAAATTTAGATGCCGTATTTTGATTTGATATCCTACAGATGCGTGAGATAGAAACAGTAATATCTACATTTACCCTCTAATTGTATATCGATTACTGTCACGTTGATAGTACAGCTGCTGTTATAACTCGGTATCCCATGGTCCATAGCAACAACCAAAAACTGCAGAGAATCATCATCATCCAGCAATCCGTCCTCAATCAGTTCATCGTAGTTCACCATATCTGTCACACTGACAACTCCTTTATAGTCAACCCTAAACAAGTCTGTGGTATTCTCCGTTATATGGTATGATATCTCGCCATTACTGCTACTATCGTTGTCATAGGCATGGGTGACGACGATAGGGCATCCTGGAGGCATTCCATCTAGAGCATACGAGTTGTATGTTTCCTGGCTGAATATTGGCGCATTGTCATTGACATCCAACACCATCACTTGTATCAATGCTGTAGACGTGAGAGGTGGCTGGCCTTCATCTTCGGCATATACTAAGGAAATGACAAAATTGTCAGTATCTGTGAGAATGATCTCTTTTTTCAGGATTATCTTGAAGGATATTTTTTCATATGAATAAGTTTTACCGCGTATCGGAAAGGAATAATACAGTTCACTTCTGTACAGTGATCCTAGATTACACTAATTTTTCCAAAGACCTGTAATTTATTACAAGGAGGCAGATTTTGTAAATCCTGAACTGTCAGATTAGAGAAAGCTACCAATCATACAAGGAGTTTTAGGCAAAAGTACAAAATCAGTGATATTTTTTAAAATCATATTCTTATTTTCTTAAAGACGGATTAATGTAAATTTAATGTAGGTGTAATAGTTTTATTACACACGCTGGTTTACACAGGTAACTAGTTATAATATAATTTGTTTACCTAATCGTAAGTGAACACGCTACTAACAGAGCAATACAGTGTATAATTATGTTTCGGAATTTACCTTCAAACACATGCTGTCTGTCAAATGGATCTTCATAATCAAAAGTCTGTTGAGTTGATACATCTCCTGTGAGTACGAGACATGTGAATGAATAAATGTATATAGCTTTGCGAGCATACACAAATCAAATAAACAATATAGCTGCAAGCAACAATGGCAGCTTTGTACAATAAATCTATTGAATCCACGTTGCTCTGAATTTGTCACCGGTTGCTGTCAAGACAGTAATTGTCAATTTGAATTCCGAATCATTATTACGGTATGATGTCATGCAAAAAAGAGACCCCCAAAATCTTTATAGTTTGTCATTTTTATCAACTTATTTAACACTCAATCATACTCACACTCACTTACTCACTCACTCACCCACTCACTCACTCAGTCAAT